GGGGGGGCAGGGGGGGGGGGGGGTCCCCCTGCCGCTGCCCCCCCCCCCCACAGCTGAAGGGGGGAGGCAGGAGGCTGATGAGGGGGCAGGGCTGGGGTGTTTGTAGCCTGGTGAGCTAGGAGGCATGTGCAGAAGCTTCCCATCTTCTGGCCTTGGCCAGTGTGGGCATCTGCCTGCCGTGGCCAACTAAGGAGTGAACAAGTATTCTGTTCATTAACAGGCCAATCTACACAGCTTAGAGAAAGCTGCATAGATTGAATCAATTCCACCTCAGGCTTTTTGACTGTCTGTACTTAGCCCTAGAGTGTTCCTTTATTATGGAAATACAGAGTTATGGTGACTGAAGGCATGTATTTATATTATCATTATTTTGTTATTCGCATGGCCAAATTCTAGCTTGGCTCAGCTCTGGAGTACTAAGAGAGCGCTGAGCTATCAGGCAGCAAATGAGTCCTGATATTCTAGTTATTATGCCAGCTGTGGGCAGGTGCTGACCAAAGATATCAGGGAAAACTGTGTAAAGAAGCAAGCTCAGAAACACTCCTTACATGTTGTGAGGGGAACAGTATGTGTTCCACTCACTTCTTACTTCTAGGTTCTGGTAGTTGCACAGACAAAAGAAAGGTGGCTGGATATTATGTTGGCTACCCAGAACCCTAGTTTGCAATGGAGTGAAAGGTCTATATCTGGCTTCCTCCTGTGCAAGTTGTTAGAGGGAAGGAGATCTGCTGCTATCATAAATGAACACACAAGGGAGCATCCCAAACGTAGCCCATCATATTGACAATACTTTTTAGAAGGAATCGTTTTGGTCTGTGAACTGGGACAAATTATTTTGTAGGAAAATAAGTGCAGTTTTAAACATTCAGAATGTAAAAAGGTGATGACGTAACAACACTGAAAAGAAATGTCGTCTCTGGTAAATTCAGCACTGGTGTAGGCGGACATAAATCAGTTGATCTCTGGGATTCATACTTCTTTACTTACTGGTATGTTTTTTATTTTCTTGAAATACTTTGAAGGTAACAACAATGATTGTAAGCACAAAAACTAGTGGAAGAAGAACAAACCAAAGGATCTTCAGCGGACACATGGGATCTGTTTATAAAATGGAGAAGAGATAAAATAAAATAAAGTAAGAGATGAATAGTTTGCTTTCATCCATCAACCTATCTAGGTTTTTGTACCCTATACATCACCATGGGATCACAGTCTTACAATTTAAAAGAAAAACCAAAAGGCTTTACCTCTCCCATCCCTTTTCCTCCACCCCCACCAATCACTAGCAGGTGGGGTTGTCTAGAATTTCGCTTCAACTTCATTTGTACACAACTGAAATGATGAGGTGAAGTATGTGAATTAACAACTCATCTCACTTGGATAATTTTTTATATGTGACTTTGTCAGGGATCTGTATGTGTCTTCATTAATTACTTGGAAGATAGAATTGAGTGTACATTTAGTAAATTTGCAGTTGACAGCAAGCTGCTAGGGTAGAGGACAGTTTGGAAGAAAGGATTAGGGTTCAAAATGATCTTGATATATTGGAGAAATGGTCTGAAATTAATCAGGTGAAATTCAATACGGACATGTGCAGAATACTGCATTCAGGATAGAAAAATCAAAAGTACAAATATAAACCAGGGAATAACTAGCTGGGCTGCAGTATTGCAGGAAAAGACCCGAGGGTTATAGTGAGCAGCAAACTGATTATGACTCAACAGTGTGCTAGCATTCCAAAAAAAAAAAAAAAAAGGCCATAGCATATTGGCATACTGGGCTGTATTAACAGTGTTGCATCCATATCACAGTAAGTGATTCTTCCACTCTGTTCAGCACTGGGGAAGCCTCATATGGAATATTGTGTCCAAGTGTGGGCCCCTCACTTCAAGAAAAACATGGGCAATTTGGAAAGTCCAGAGGACAACAAAAATAATTGTCAAGAAAATATGACTTACAAGGAAAGGTCAGAAAAACTGGGGTTATTTAATCTGGAGAAGGTGAGACTGAGTGGTGCGGATTTGATAACAGATTTTCAAATATAGAGATATATGTTATAAATATGCTTTGTGTCCACAGGCGACAGGATAACAGTCTCAAATTACACCAAGGGAAATATAAGTTATGTATTAGGAATAACTTTCAAAATATGAAGATGGCTAGGTATTAGATTAATTAACTTAGGAGTTGTGGAATCTCCATAATAACTGGAAACTTTAAAGTGTTTTTATATTAGACAAACACTTGACTGGGCTAGTTTAGACTGAAATGATCCTGTCTTGAGCAGTGAGTTGGATTTCCCGGGATTCTGTATCAACAGTTGTATGTGGCAGGAAGACTTACAACAACAAAGGATTATATATTATGACAGAAAAATAGAAGGAACTTGCCCAGTGTGAAACATGTATCTTTGCTAATATCCACAGCCTGATGGTCCCTCAGCATACGCTGGAGGAGATAACATTCTGTATACAGAAATCCTCTTACTTATGAAACGGGAGGAGAGTCCAACTTCATGACCCATCCCCTAAGGAAACCCTTTTGCTGTCGTTTTAAATGGAAAATAAAACCTTCATGGGGAATTGGACAGGAGTCAGGCTGAGGCAGTTGTCTGTGGTAACATCTACTGAAGAAACCCACCAGAAGTTTGTATAGAATTATGGAGATTATTAAAGCTTAGAGCTATAGAATTATAGTTACATTAAGTTCCTCTAGGCCCTTCCTAGAGCAGGTGGCAACATGGTGCCTTTAGGTAGCTCCTACTTATGAGACATTTACCCTTGAGAAATAACTTCATAGTCACTCATATCCTTTCCTTTGCAAAAGGCACATTTTCTGAGACTGTCACATCTGCCTACCATACTTGGTTTATTTATTGGGTTTTATTCTTCTAGTGCTTATCCAGAACCCTTAGTGTGTCCCAGGCTTTTGGCCTTTGTAAACAGTAGGAAGAAAAAGAGTTGCTTTTTTTTTAACTTGAATTAGCTAACTTAACTAATTCAGTATAAATCCTAGTTAAGAGAAAGTGGTTTGTAGTGTTCACACAAATTATCACAATAAATTAAAATCTAGACTCTATTATATTCTTACCCTGATAATTCTTGTGAAAACTATGAATAGTGTTCTCTGTGTTAGGGCTTTATTTCAAATTAGTTAAGCTAAGAACCTACGTACTTGTCCTCCTGAAAACACAGCCTAAAATACAAAAGTTAAAACTGAGAATTTTCAGTATATAAATAAAAAAAATGATAAACTAGTACAGTTTTCCAGCTGCAAATACAACATGTGGGGCTGGGGCAGTAAGCATGGTAGCCAATCAGCCAGGAGAACTCTTTAAAGGACCAAATAGCACAAAGAAAGACTAAAAAAATTGCCAGGCTGTCTGCTGGAAAGAGACAATTAGGTGAGCTAAAGATTTTTTCCTTATGCATACAGTACTAAGAATATTAGTGGGACAATGTAACAGGGCACTAAGAAAAGTCAAACCTATGGCCCAGTCCTCCTTCCATTAAAGTGGATAGGAATTCTGAAATTTACTTCAAAGGCTGAAGGATTATATCAATTAATCTGGTAAACAAACAAACAAAACTCCCAAAAAACAATATGAATTTTCGTTAAAGATAAATTCAATAAATTAACAATTAAAAAAAAAAGTTAAATTCTCAGATGTTAGTTTTCTTGGATTATTTCCACAAAATATAAGGCAAAACTGCTGGAGCAGACCATCTAAAAGCCTGGTTTGCCAAGCAAGGATGGTCTTTCACTAGTTTGATCAAAATTGCACTGGATTCTTGGGGTGTTGCTTTCAAGTAGTTGCTTAAGGCATGAATTGCCTACTGGAAGCTTTTCTTCCTTAGTGCAAGGTTCACATTATTTCCAAGTTTGATTTCCCCGCTGATTCCATTTTCATAACTTACTTTCCATGAAAGATGTTAGTTGCATTGAAATATTTATACAGTCATTCTGGTCTTCCATCATTGCTGTTATACATGAGTAATATATGTTTTCATCTGTTGTGTTTCCTCTTCTGCTTGTAGACTTTTTAATTTGGATTTCCAGTAAATAGTAAGTGTTAAATTCCTCACTCTCATCATTCTCATGAGCCACAGTGAAATTGAAATGTTTATAGAAAAAAATAAAATCTTTTGCTTTCATTGCTAATGATCCATTCACTCTTGAAACTACAAAGAAATAAAAAACATTAAGATATGCTATGTGCTATACAATACTGAAAAAAGAAATACAGAAAAACTCTACTAAGTCTTACTAAGTCGTACTAAGCAAACAGTGAGATACATCATTATTGACTAGGAGTAAAATGAACAGAAAGATGACACATTAGATATTCTAAAGGGATCTGAGAGATACTGATATTTCTAGTCAAAATGTATTTGACCTGAAAATGACAGTGAATTTTTTGTTGTTTTATCTACCAGCTTCAAGGTGGTCGTTTTCTGTGTTTGGTGGTTGGGGGCATGTGTACACAAGTGCCTGTTTGTTTCTGTCCGTCACTGTCAGGAATAGCACAGACCAAGAATCAATTCAGAAAAAAACAGGTAAGACACTCATAGAAAGTTGAGCTGGATATGACATATAAGGTCTTTTGGTTTCATAGTTTCTAGGGTGGGAAGGGACCTGAACAGATCATCAAGTCCGACCCCCTGCCCTGGGCAAGAACAAGTGCTAGTATCCTAATACCCCCAGCCAGATATCTATCCAGGTGTTTATACATGTGCTCTGGGAAAGGCGTGGGGGGTGGGGGTGCTCTTTAATTACAGCAGCTTGGACAGATGCTCCAATTGAAGTGCCCAGAGCATTGTGTATCAGCATCCCCACACTGAAAAATGGCAGCAGGGACACTTTAACTAAAGCTCATCAAACAAGCTATAGTTAAAGTGCCCCTGCCACCTTTAATGCCTCGTGCCTCCTGCAGCTGGGAGGGTATGGCAACCGTCTGCAGGTGGCGGCAGCGGAGACATGGCAGCAGCGAGCGGGGACCACCCGCAGTCAGGAGCATGAGGGGTTGTTAGCAAACACTGAGCAGAGATCAGCGATCGCCCGCAGATGCCACCAGCAGCATCAGCATCAGCGGGCACGGGTGGGGTAGCAAGTGGCAACTGGCCGCAGATGCTGCCAGCAGCAGCGGCCAATCTCAGGGGAGCACAGCCAATCTCAGGGGGTGCACATGCACCTGCATGCCCCCCCTACGTGTCGCCAATGCCTGCTGCCATTTTTCAGTGCAGGGACACTGATACATGTAACGCTGGAGTGTGGTACTTACCACACTGTAATTATTGCGTGTCAGAGCAGCCTCAATGACCGTGTATGGAGCACCCATATACATTCCCATTTCAGAATACTTCCTGCCCATTTCAGACTGTTTCCCAGAGTCTCACCCAATTTTAAATTACTCAAGTTATGGCTCTTCCACTCTGCCAACAAATTACATTTGTATAAATATGTCAAAATCAATAGGATTGCACAGGTGTAATTGAGAGCAGAGGTTTTCCATTTTTTTTATTCTCCATACCTGTACAAGTAACTATGAAGTGTTACAATTTCTTAGACTTTGCATTTGTTTAGTCAGTGTTCTGTTTTGATTATTGGACATAAAACTCATTTTAGAAGGACAAAGCTTGGGTGTGTCCTCTCTCCTGACAGTACCCAGAAGCAGTGGAGGCATGCTAGGATGGGAAAGCTATGCCTTATGCAGTATCAGTGGCATTTTTGGTACTATACACCCAGGGATATTACAAACTAGAACCACAATGTGCACTTTGGTTCCACTTCTCTCTATCCTAACCACAGCCTATCCTTACTAATCCTTATTTGTTTTATTATCCTGTCTTCTAATGCACTCTTCAGACATTTGGGGCAAAATTCTGTTACCCCTTGCGCACCTAGATTGTACTTACCTGGCCATGTGAGCGGCATTTTTTGGCACTTACACGTGGTTTGCAATTCTATTTGCCTTGCAGTATGAATGTGTAAGTACCTACATATTGTGACGGGAGGCCAACCCAGGGCTGGGTCTCACGTCAGCCCACTCACCTGTTTAGGGCAGTCTGCCCCATCTTGCCTGCCACAACTCAATGTTCTCTGATATAATAAGTAGGAGGCTGCCCGTAACTGCCCTGATGCCAAGGGATACTATCCATGGCTCCGTACCTCCCCATACACTGTGGCCCATGCCTCGTAGATGGCATCCAGACCATTATTGCTCCCCAGCTTCAGTCCACAGTTGGGCCTCTTACACACTCACACTCACTCCGCCCCCCTCTCACAGGGGCATCTCACATGCTGCCCCTCACTGGGCCACTCAACTGTCCTGCTCCCTTGAATAACCACCTTTGGGTCATCAGGCTTCACTACTCTCACTGTGGCACAGCACATGCAGCACCTTCAGTTTGCTCATGCTCCGCTACTCTATGTGGCCTTGTCCTTGTGCCAAACACTGGGCTGCTTCTGCCCCAGCCCCTCACCAGACAACTTGCTCCCGTTCTCATTCATGAGGGTTGGCCCATGTACTGCTTTTCAAGCTGCCCTTGCAGCTCTACTCAGTAAACCCCTGGTGCAGCCCTTCAGGCCACACTTGGCAGCCCTACTCTGCACCACACATGCACAGTCCTTCAAGTACCTCTATGCAGCCTACTCTGTACAGGCCCTCACATCAATACTACCCACTCTGGGGCCTCTGGGGTCTTATACCCCTGCTGGGCTCAAGTGCTGCTTTATAAGCGTGTCTGCCCCTCCCTCAGGCAC